ATTCTTTGTTTCTATTAAAAAAATAACAGTAAAGGTTCCTACTGCACTTCCTTTCAATTGTTTTAAAATAAACCTTATTTATCGACAACTTAGGTGCCAAACATGTACAGTACTCACATATGGATTTCAATGATTTGCTGTTCATGAAATATACAAAAATAATCATAATTATATGTTACCTGTAAAAATTAATCTATAATATATATCAATTTTATAGTAATATTGAGTGCTTATATTAAATTCGTTATTATATATTGACAAACCATTGTGATAAACCTTTATCTAAAGAGACCAAGAGTAGAGATAAATATTTTTATTTCTAAAAGAATTTTAACACATATGCATCTGTACCTTTTTCTCACCAAAAGATGTGTTATACAGGGTCTTGAAACACAAACCAATTATTTCATATGCGAAACCTATTTATTTCAGATAAACGTATCAGCAACCTAGCTTTGAGTCTGAGTCTTTACTTATTTTTGTTACTTGTTTATGTAGAAGCAGTTGTATACAATTAGCGTGTGGTGTTTCGTGGACTCTCGACCTCATAAGACAAAGTTAAAATAAAGAATACAATAAAGATGTATTAAATATACAAAATATCTTTAAGTGGGTGGATTGTTTCTGGCGTATTATCAATAGCTATAATAGCTCTAAATAATATAGACAGTATATATAACTAAATGATATCATATAGCGTATATATATATTTATGTTATATATTACACACAGCGAGCATACATCCTTCTTTAATGTTTAAATCCTGCACATAAGTTACTACAGCAACTTCGTGAAAAAGTAGAGAAAACGCACGTTTTCAACTTATTAAGATCCAAAATCTGTATATTACACTTTATAACTATCCAACATATATAATAATAATATATATAATCTATTATATAGATAACTGGCTAATTTATTACCTATAGAATAAATTATAACAATATAAAATATTTATAATACAGTCATATTACTATCTCATCACAATCAACACTCAGATATCCATAACGTATCGCTAAGTGTGATTGACTCTCTATACCCTCATGAATGAAATTATGACACTTATTCTTTTGCCATGAATAAAAAATACTACACAATTGATAACTCCAAGTGTCTAAGTCCAGCATATAGTGAGCGCATTTTACACTTTTCAGTGATGTTGGACCACATTCACACTCATATTAATATAACATCACTGTCACTGGAGCGACACAGAATCTCGGAAGACATCCACATACGATCTTATTACGAAACTCTCTACAATTTTGCTTAACTTAGCATCTGAAATATACCTTATTACGCAAGCCATGACATTTCTCGAATTGCAAAACTTTTCTCTCTAAGAAGACTTAAAATATTAAGAATCAACTCGATGTAGTAAAATGTATACATAAAATCGCATGGTAAAGGAGCATACTAAAAATTTCGAAGTTGTCTACGTAAAGTAATTATTGTACCTTTTTCTAATGTGCAAAATTTTCTTTGGCAGCAAAGAATTGAGTTTTAATCTGAAATCGGAACGACTCACAACCGCTTGTCCACTCGAAAGTTACCGCTGACCTCTGCACACGTCGACAGTTTCCATCAGTTCAGGGGCGCGTATCTTCTGTTAGTCACGAAGAAGTCGAACGTTATGGTGCGAAGACTGATATTACTTTATTCGTCTGGCCAAGCGAGATCGCGTTCGACAGATGAGGCAAAACATTATCCCACGATGCAACTCTTATGTCTCGGCATGAATGTCCTTCACACACTTTCTTTGGAGAATTGACTTCGACTGTAAGGGAAAGAGGATTCGCTCCTGCCCGCGTGAGTATATTCCGTCCGCCGATTATACAAATTTACCAGCGTATGAACGATCAGATTAAGAACCTTGTATCCAGTTAGTAGAATCCTATTAATATATATATTATGATAAGATTTTGAGCTCGTATAATAAAATATAAAAGAGCCACGTGATAAGTGAAGATGGAAACGTTATCTACCAATTTAGATCTACTCTAACAGATTGTGCGTTATCTTACTCCTCTGACTAAATAATAGCACGGAGTATGTCAATAGGAGGATATCTATGGTTTCCTGAGTCATTTAGTCACTAACTTAATTGATTTTGATTAATTAAAGTGCTTAAATTCACCCATAGCTACGCCAATTTCTCTAACAATATTCCCTTCAGTGGTTGGAGAAGATTTCCATAGATTGTGAAATAGTGAGGTAATTGCTCTTAAGTGAGCTTTCATTTGGCACATTCTTTCACGAACCATATTACTTTGCTCTCTTTCGCAATATCTCTGCGTCGCATTATTCCGGACAGTTGCGCTCTTACCCAAGACATCGCGCAAAGAATTGGGAGCAGTGAGTTCTCGTTTTTGTGCAACGATCAAAGTTCCTTGTACGCAATATTCCGTAATTAAATGTGTTATATATCGCTTGTACTTATAGCTTTGGGCTGGTAGGCGTTTTTTTACAAATCTACTTGGGTACACTTCCCTTGCGTGCAACCTAATATATCAATGTTATATTTTAATTAGTATTACGCGTTAGTAGTAATATATACATAATAGTAACCCCTAGCTTTAATACCGATAAATGATTGGCGATGAATAGGTGATATATGATAAGTATATTATGATTAAAATGAAAGTGCTGATTCGTTAGTCTCGCTAAAACTCGAGAATCGCTGAACGGATTTATCTTATCTTGGTTTGAAATGATTCGAAGTCTAGGTAAGGGTTAGAAGTTAAAAGGAAAAAAATTCTAAATAATGCCTGGAAAACCTCAAAACAACCCATTTTCTCAGTGAAGCACCTATGGTTGCAAGAATGTAAATAATTTCACAAGAGTCCTCCAAAGAACCCACATTTTCCGACTCTTTCCTTGTCGCGCTAAGGACCGTACCGTCCATGCCAACACACTACTCCCGCCTGACATGCTCATGTCCAGGTGCTGTCGATGCGTGAGTAATACGTGAGAGCAAGCCAGCGGAGAGCTTACATCCTGTTTCAGCAAGTCGATAATAAGAGCCGAACCCCGCGCCCCTGTGAGAGAGATCAAGCAAAAAGTTACCTTATCGGTCATTGATTTTGATAAATTGCTCTCGAACCCTCCTTTCCACATTCCGTATTTTAAAAGGTTAATCTGTCAAATTATATCGAGACCCTAGATCTATCGATATCGAGAAACTGTTTCACTGCAACGTGATTTTATCAACAAAAAATTAATCTTAAAGGTTCTGTGAAATAAGTGTATCGTTTGTTTGAAAATGCATGATATTTCAGATACTCTCTCACGGTGTGCTGTAGCGTCGATCTCCTTTGTGTGAATATATTTAATACATATATGATCGTTCGTCAAAGACGAAAGACAATTGCGATATATGGATGGTTTTCGCAACCACACTTTCGCCGGTTTTTTCACCAACGACGTGTGAGGTGATGTGTGTGTGTGTTATCCCTTGATAAATATTGTCGGATTAAGGTGACAGAGGCGGTGTTTTAACCTCGCATCAACCTGTGAGATAAGCCAGAGAATGGAATTTTTTCTTTCAGCTCTTCCCCGATGGCGAGAGAGAAAGGACCGACCCCCAGAACCTTAGTTACGTTCGCAGTCAATCAAATGATGCGAAAGCTTACCTGGGACGGCACTGGGACAGAACGTTGAAAGATCTCATGACAACCCAAAACAATGTTCTTTGGTGTGTCGCTGCCCAGTGTGTGGAATACGTTGGGTGGATAAGAGATGCCAATTGAGAGTATTAGTGTGTCCTATGATTCACAGGCTAGAGTATATTCGTAGTCATTTTACCGGTTATTCCCCGCATTACCAAAAACTGTTGCTGGATGTATATTCTGAACATGGTGACATGCCTAAATCATCGAAGCTGTGTGCGAAGTACGACGAATTCATGTTGTATTAATTAACAACTCCACTAACAACGAACATTCGAGTATTGTTGTGCAAGGATCGAAGGAACTATGCAAAATAGTGTGTATATGCTAATTTTCAGTTGTTAGATAATGAGAGTGACCAAGTTGCAGTTGGGACACCATCGGACCGGAGTTCTCACGATGTTCCCTACCAGTATTTCCCGTCAGCGATACACAGACTCAGAAAAAGTGGAGCTTAGTCTCTCTCAAGGCGTCTCTTTCCTCTATTAGTAGACCGCAATAAGTCAATACATACTCGCATAATTGCCCTTGTTCGCGCATGGACTAACTTATCACGTCGCGGTGCTCACGCTCGCGGTGAAAAACCTCTTCTTCTCTGTTTATTTATACCTACTTGCCAACAAAAACAATAACACAGAAAATATATCCGCTCTACCTAATGAAGAAAGCTTTAAATGTGATTAACCACCCACCCAAATAGTATACAGAGAGACAGTAGGTTTATTCGCGAGAAATTAAAAGTGGGACAACTTTTTTTTGGTAGTGTTCTGTAATATAAAATTTAAACGCTTATATAGCCAGTAATTTCTGCAGAGAATAAAACTCTGTTTTGTAAGTAAAGCAACATGATGTGTCGAAAAATAGATAATAAATATCTTACGCTCTGTATAGCTATCCGAGATATGTAAAGCTCTCTCTCAAAACAAACGATAAGGAGACCGTTTAGTGATTTATTCTCGTTTGAGGCACACTATCGAGCTCTGCCGGTCAGTAGCTCTGCGGTGATGTTACAGGTTTAACATAACGGAAATAATTACCTCTTATCCAATCGAAGGATAAAGGTTACTCTAATATACGTTAAACCTAAATAATGAGGAAACCCGGACCACGTATATATAATTAATATATAGTATTTTATATAGTGATTATTTACACTGATTCTTACAATTACTTCTATTTACGTCTTGTGGATGGAAGGTGCGGGTTTCTTCATGCCAGCTGATTGTATCAATTGAATTTGCATTTGCATTTTTTATTTGTATTTGTTGTCCTATGCAGACGGCATGAAAAAAACGGCAAAAAAAACAACCAACAAATAACACGATGCGAAACATGCGTTCGAAACTGTGCCGGGGGCAGCGTCTTCTGCGGGGTAAGTTGCAAGGAAAATTATACATTCCCATGACAATTTTGGGACTTGTTTTACATTACAGGACGAGACTATTCAAACCATTTGGGAAGCAATAAATTGAACATAAAATCAATTGTATTTATTTCACTGCATTAAAAAATCTATAGCCAGTCCGGATAGCCGAGATCGTTAAGGCAGTAGTGCCGTAGCGATCTCTGACCGAAAGATCGCGTGTTCGAGTCACGCCTCGGGCATGGTTGTATTTGTGTTCATCCTTTCACCCCTATATCATCACTATATCATATATCGTTAAATCGCTAATAGCCTAGATGTTGATGCGAGCTAAAATAACAAAAAAATGTTATAATTTCATTATCCGCGTAGTATCCTAAGCGATAACGAGCGTGGGCAACAATTCACACATCACCATCCTACGTCAAAACAAAGTGATAAAATTAATTAACGCTGCTATATGGTGAGTTTATATAGCTTCCAGATTCATTGTGACGAAAGTATGTCTCATCTCTTGTATTAATTTCAATACAAAAATTCTTCAGTAGAAAGCTAACTTATGTGACGATCCTCAAGAGCAAATCTGGAGCGGACGTATAGATGGGCTTTCCCATGTACCCCTAACGGTATCGCAGTCTGTGACAGTTGTCAGCTGCCAGGATGTGGCCGCTTGTGGGCCGCCATCATTGACGTCACAGGAATACTGTAAACGATTTCATCACACGAAGGATACAACGCATTATCGAACGCGAATTGCCCACGGCGAATTCCAAGACGTGACAAATTCTCTTGAAAATGTTTCATTATGGTCACAGGATCATACCCGGTTAAGTGGTCTAATTTTTCCCGCTCGACCACCTCAGACTTTGAATGAACTTTGCATGCCGAGTCCCACATGTATCATGTGTTTTTTCTAAGTTTACTATTACTTTGTTATTACAAAACCAATTTAAAACATGCGAAATCGTACTACGTACTGTTTATTTAGTTAAGAATTTTCTAGTGATCACCAAACAAAAAATGTCTTCTATTTATAATGGACGAGGGCATATCGTATTCATATAGAAGTAAGAGAATATGACCAAAGTTCGAAGCCTTCAAACTCCATGTTCAATTCGCAAAGGATTGGAAACCCGAGCTTTCGTACCAGTATACGAGGTCGCCCACAAGGAAGGGGAAAACCCAACAATTTTCGGGGGCTTGTTGAATAAAATTACATCGCTCTATTTTACTCTTCGCTTTTACAGTATTACTTACGCAACAGAGACATTTATGAAACATTGCAGCCATAAACTGCGATTTTTCGGAAGAAAAATTCGTATTGTAGATTCCTGATACCAAAAATGGTGAATAGTGGTAAATCACTTCCTCTAACACATTATGCCGTCAGAATTCACGATTTCTGTCCTAATAAATATTTAAATTCAGTATATTAAATTTATTTAATTTAAGTTAGGTATTTGTTTTTTAATTAAAAGCTACGAGATTCTAATTACAATTGGATTGTTACAGTTTAATTGCGAAAATTATCTAACGTTTTTTATGTAATGTTTTTTTGTGGACAGTGAGCCTCCGATGAGTAAAAAATGAAATATCGCGAGGGTGGTATGTAAGTTTCATACATCTCAACAAACATAGTGTGGATAGGATCGAAGGATCGCGGGTTCGAGTCCCGCCTCGTGCATGGTTGTATTTGTGTTCGTCATTTCACCCTGTCTCATCACCACATCATATCGTCTTCACAGTTCCCATACCGTTAAATGCAATTGTGATCCCTAATGACCTAGATGTTGATGCGACCTTAAACAACAACAACAACAACAACAACAACAACAACAACAACAAAAAAGAGTTGGTGTAATTTTCAGAGGGAGGCCCAGCCCGCAGACGATTGAGCGGGTCGTGCGCGGCGCTCTCCTGCTGGTCTGTGCCGCCGCTGCCGCCCACGGCGCCGCCTCCACCACCTCCGCCGCCGCCGCCGCGCCCCTCTGGCCCTGCTCCTCCGCGCACCGCCTGCCGGACGCCGGCGCCGACGCCGCCCCGGTCTACTTCCAGGTGCTCTCCGCCGCCGGATGCGGTGAGTGGGTGTTCGAGCAGGAGAGGGACACAACTAGGGTTTACTCTCTTCAGTCACGAGGTCTTCATTTTAACAGCCGTTCTTGCCAAACAAATTTGGACGGGAGGCATTGAGTAACACGTGCAAGTGATACAATTCGTGTGTTACAAGTAGTGTAACCCCCTCCCTGGGTAATTTTGTTATTCCGCACAAACTGTAAAATGTTCCAATCAAAGCAATATATTTATACCGTTAGAAAGCAAGAAAAGTACATTTCAAATTTTCCTTTTTAAGAAATACAATTTTCATGCTTTGGCTAAAATTCAGTCTATTCTGTGTTTAATTAAAAACGTGATGATAGTAAACAACGTGGAATCTGAAGTTAGGCGTCAATACCCTATCTGTTTAAATACGTTTGACAACTTGATTCAACTGCATACATATTCTCACCATCTTTTCAACTTGACTTGTAGCATTTCTTACAATAATATTTGTAGTGATGGTAAGGAACAATGTAAATCGTTCGTGACAACTATACCTAAC